CTTCCATAACATTCTGTAATCTCATTGCCAATGTGAAGGTATTTCATTTTCATTTTGGGTCTCTTGCATATTTACAACTTCCCTTCAGTTAAATAAATAAAACTGAAAAGACTTTAAGATATCCACCTATAATGTATTTTATTCCTTGAATTAGGAGGAATTTATTTTGGATGTAGTTCATTGGCGATTCTGATATACAGATCATCAAACCTGACATATGGAAGAGGTCCAACTGTTTAAATGAAGCTTAGGCATGCTTTCAATCTCTCCTTTAGAAACATATTCCTTCCATTAGGCCTTTCTAAGCCTTTCACTTGTTTTGGAATATTTTTTTATTTCACCTGAAACTTTGATACGTAAACTTCCATGCTTCCTTTATCAACCTGTCCCCTTTTTCTCTTTGCCTTGATTGGATAATAGCTGGTTTTCTCTGTAGGGTTTTCTTTTGTCTAGGCAGATGATCATAGAACTGCAGTATAGCAGTTTGAGTGAGATCATGATATTTTGCCAGAATGCTCTCTTCAGGTGTAACATGCTTGGCCATCTCTGCACCCCACAAAGATTTCTTGTACTTCTATAAATCTTGAGGTTCCTCCAAGTGTAGTGATAACTCCTTGTCTTTCATTAGTAGTGCTTTGCCTGAAAGCCTACTCACCCTCCCCAATTGAGTTCAGATTAGAAGAAATCATGAGTCTTTTTGTTGTTGAAGTTGTTGGTTTTTCAGAGAAATCACTTTGGGAGAGACGTTTGCAATTGAATAATTGCGATCTACAACAATTGCCAATAAATAAAGACTTCCTCTGCTGATCCTTCTAGTCCTCTGTATGGTATTTAGAGTAGCACTGAATCTCATTATCCCAGCCTGATTGTGTGTGTGTGTGTGTTAGGGCTTAATGTCTCCTGAATGACAGTTTCCCAATACTGTATGGTAAAGTAGAAAACACTGGGATTTTCAATTTGTGATACACCATATAGAATCAAGGTGGAAATCTGATGATCAAAGAAAAATGAAGTACACTGACCATAACCAAGCTGACCGGGCATACCCCAAAGAGCTGTTTGGAATCCAACTATGCTGGAACCATCTTCATTCCTCTTTTTCTTGCAGGGAGGGGGGTACTTCGATTGTATCATCAGTGCACTGCCTATTAAAGGTAAAGTCTCCTTTGAACTGAGCTCCATTCCCAATGCCTTCATGGACACAGCCATCTTGTTTTCTTAGCAACAAGGCAGAAGTTATTTCCCACTGATTTCTTCCAGAGTGTTCCCCCCCCCCCCACTCCAACTTCTCAATCTAATTTTCAGACTTGAGATTCCCTGGTCTTAGTGGTGGATGGATGATGGCCTACCATCCAAGTACTTCCAAGTTTGGACCAGGTGAACCTCATTGCAGCCACATGCTAAAGGGGGAAAGTGTCCAGTAGGCCCATTTAGATCAATTTACAATCTTCCAATCTAAAAGTGAACTATTTGGCAGTTAATGCCTACTCTCAGCCATCCCCATTCTTTAAAGGATAAGTGCAAAATATATGAGAAAGCTAAGTCCATAATGATAAGTGGTCCACTCTGGTTTTAGGATGGGAGAATAAGTTGCGCTTCTTGAATAACACCATCCATCTTTGTACAAATTCATAATTCCACCAATTCCATAATGATATATGATCTCAGAACTATTTTTGTATGGTATTGGATGGGAACACAAACATAGAATGTATGTTTTACACTGACAGAAATAACAATATTTACTTGTTAAATCTTTAGATCAACAACCATATACAATGTCATGGGAGGACATGAAATGGTGTTCATTGATCTGAAAAGCAGACCATGCACCCCTAGGAAGAAGAAGAAGAAAGCTTGTTAAATTTTTGGATATTCAGGGTTTCTTTCCCTTTCCTAGGCCATAGTGACATCAAGCATGTGTTAATGTCATTGCAGAAATGATGCAAACTATTTTATAATGTGTGGGGTGTCACTTCTCCCACCCTCATGTGACCCCCTCCATGTTCTGTTCTGTTTACAAAGCTAACTTTTCATTTTGCTAGTTTGGAGGTTTAGCAAGCTTGAGTTACCTTCATTAGACTAGTCTCCATTTGCAGTTCCAACAAGACTCTAATCTGAAATTGTGTGCAATTTCACACACACAAAATAACACACACACAAAATAAAGTTTTACCATTTTTTCTTTTTCTTTTCTTTTTAATGCAAAAGCGGGATCATTTATTGTCTTTGCCTTATATAGTTTTGAGCAATATATATCTGATCTTGCTGTGAGTACCTGAAGTTGTTATGCGCACATGAAAGGTCTGTAAAAAAAAAAAAAAAATCAAGTCTTACAGTTCTCAATTTTATCAAATGTTTTTCTCCCAGTAGAATCAATTCTTGATAACTAGTAAAGTGGGATTCCCAGTAGGTTGTTGTTGTTGTTTTCCTTTCATGTTCCTTTGGGATTCTATGCAGGAAGGGATATTTCTTCTTCTCTGCTGCAAATTCTGTCAACCGCGTAGTTATTTCTCCTCAGTTCTCTATAGCTAAATACAAGACCAGCAAACAGTTACTGGAAATAGACATTTGCTAGCGGAATATCTGACAGTAGCTACCGTCTTACATGGAAAGGAATATGAAACTTAATAGGTTAGAGGGAGAAGTGCTATCTCAATGGGAGTGATAGAGCGTGATTTTAATGCAAAATTACAGATTTTACCTCTTGACTGAATATGTGGACCAGAATGGACTTGGGCACCAAAAACTGCATTAAGAGGGTATTTTTGATAGGATTCCAAATTAAAAAAAGGCACATGAATGTACACAGTTTATAGATGAGTACCTCCAAAAATACAGATCTTAACAAATGTTGTTTCTTTGAGGATTGGTATGGAATTGGAGGGAATTTGAACATGAGTAAAAGTCAGAAGCCCTAGATATGACTTCCTCTGTATGTAGCTGCTTTAGATGAAAGTTTTGCTCAACTTAAGTTGTTACTGACGGTGTCGTGGTTGTGCTGTGCAACCTTCCCAAATAGTGTGTGTCCCCCCATCTCCCCGTTTTATCCTTATCTGTTTCTCACTGTGTGTGAGAAATGAAAATAAAGAGCTAAATTCTACATTATTTAGGTCATTTTGGAGCACAAAACAGGAAATACAATACCCACATTTTCTGGAAAGATATTAGAATATTCATTTCTACCGATGAATTTTCTGAATCTCCTTTAAAGGAACAAACAAAAAGCAGTGTATCTCATAGCTAGAAAGATTTAGTTCCCAACAATATGTCAAAGTAAAAAAAAAAAAAAATGCTTGTGTGTGTGTGTGTGTGTGTGTGTGTGTGTAACACCACCTTTTATAAAATCAGAAAGGAGCCAAAAGGATTGCAAACATTTCCTGCACAAAACTGTAAATGTGGAGATGAAAGCTTTGACTACTTTCATTTTGGGATTTCAGCATGGCTGTGTGTGATCTTTCCTCTCTGCAAAGAGGTCTAGCATAGGAAATTAACATGCTGTGAGGGAAAACAGTTATTGATCTGACATTTGTCTCCTCTTTATTTACTTAAGCTTCTATTTGTTAAACGGAAGGTAAATTTCAGTGTCTCCCTTGTGATGTCAAGGTGTACAGGGGCAATTTAGACTGCTTACTTGCCATTTCAATTTCATTATCATTGTTCGCTTACAATTTTGTTACAAAGTTGTGTTTCCAAAAAGTGTATTCTGCACATGGTAGCAGTGGGTGACTGTTAATTAACCCCACAAACCAAAAGAGTTGCTGCAGACCACAATCATTGCTGTCCATCTGTAGCATAACATTTTGCACCTTGCTATCTCTTTCAACCACATATAATTGGAATTTTCTTCAGCTCATATCAGATTTATTTTTTGCCAACTTTTTGTTGTTTGGATTATGGTCTTTGGCTTTAAAAAGAACAAATAGGTACAAAAGGCGGTCACTTTACACTGTAGATTTACAGTTTACAATATTACCACAGCTGATTCAGCTTGATTTTATTCATAAAATTGTAAGATCCAAGTTGCATGGAAAGGAAAGGAAAATAAATGAAATTCCTTGAAAATACTGTGAGCATAGTGAGGAAGAGATGCCATTAGCTTTAGCATTTTGAAACTATAAACATGAACATTTTGAAATACAGTTATACAACAAAATGGAGAGCCAGTGTGAGTTAGTGGTTAAGGTGGCTGGCCCTCCCTTAGGCATGGAACCAGCTGGGTGACTTTGGACTGGGATGTTGAAGAAGATCTGTCTACCAACCTGACTGGACTATATGAAGCCTATAGCCTTCATCCTTGGGGTGGATTTTTATGTCCCTTCCAAATCTGTTTGGTGATATTGAAGATCAAGAACAGGTTTTTTGGGCGGTGGGAGTGGGGGGGAGAAACATGATTTCATTTTTGCTGTGCCAATATAACCAGGTTCCTTGGGGGATGTTGCTGACATGTAAGAAAACTTTGCATTTGTTTTTCCCTTGTTGTCTAAGACTTCAGACATTTCCAAGTGAGATCAAAAGGCACCATGTTACTGCAGTTTTGCCAAATTCCTAAATGTAGCAACAGAAGGGTTACGTGGAAACTCCATTAGATAAATGTCATGGGAATGATTTATTTGTTTATTTATTGGATATGTTCTTTGTTGTTAGCCCCCTCAGTATAATCATAACAAGACTGTCTTCTGAGCTTCTTAGAAATCAAAAATTCAGCATCAGAAATGTAGTGGAATGTAATGGAAGCAAGGATAAACAGAAAGAGGATGCATGTTCAGTTTAGAAGGACCAGAGGAGAACATCTGTGGCCTCTGTATGCTTTGGATGTGGATTCCATTTCCTGCATGCTTCAGGAATTTGATCTTAAACATTTGGATACATGCATCATCTAAGAGGCTTTCACAAACAGTTCAAGGAGAAGATACTTCAGTATTTGACAGAAGAGAAAAAAAATAATCATGTAGGTTAAGCACAGATTAAGCCTTTTTTTCCTTTCCTTTGCATTTTAGGCCTAACTCCACCTACCACCCCTCCTCACAAGGCCAGCCAAGACAACCCTTTTAGGACTTCACCAAAGCCCAAGGCGTCATGCCAGACTGTTATGCCACCTTCCCAAAAACCTTGCTGCAGTGAGTCTTCCATCTCTCAAGGACATAATTTAGTCTGGAAGGGTCCAGAGCAGTCGGAGCTGTACGCGCAGCTGAGCAAGACAACTGTGCTGTCTGTGGGTCAGGAAGAGAGGAAGACAAGGCGGCCTGGTTTGCGACTGTTTGGCGACCATGACTATTGTCAATCTGTCATTTCTAAGACAGAAATATGCATCGACCGCTCCCTGGAACTTCAGAATTCCAGTCAAGTCGAATTAACAGGCTGCCTGCCTGGGCACTGGTGTCATATTTGTTCTTCTTTTGAGCAATATAACCAGGATGATGAGAGAGAAACTTCACAGGCAAGAAAGCAGGATTTACCATGCAACAACCGGAAACAGCTTCAAGACCAGGAAATCCGGGCTGAACTCAACAAGCATTTTGGTCACCCTAGCCAAGCTGTTTTTGAGGAAGAGACCAATAAGACCAGTGATCTGAGGGACAACAGTCATTATAGTGATGAACAGTTCTCTAAGCTATCTATGTTTATAAATTCAGGACTAGCAATGGATGGTTTTTTTGATGACAGCGAAGAGGAAAATGAAAAGCTGTGCTGCTCATGGTATGGGATGCAAGGCTACACCTTATTTGATTTGTCACCTTCTTGCTCATCCCTTAATTCTCCATGCAGAGATTCCGTGTCTCCACCCAACTCATTTGCTCAACGATTCCAAAGGCTACGCTCTCGGTCAAGGTCCTTCCCACAGTGCAGGCACTGTTCCCGCTCTCCGTATTCCCGTTCAAGATCAAGGTCGCCAGGCACTAGGTCCTCTTCAAGGTACTGTAAGGGGATTGCTGGAAGCATGTTGAACTTAATGAAATGAGTGGCTCACTTTCAGAAAGTTGGTGAGGCTAAATTTTATCAGCAAATTCTGCGGTAGGAAACTAGTTACATTTTATGTAAAATGAAATTGACTATGGTAATTCAGCAATTTACCATAATGAAGATGATCCTGAATTTAAGACACCTCCTCCCCAAAAAGTACAGTAGAGACTATCTATCATCTATCTATCCATCCATCCATCCATCCATCCATCCATCCATCCATCCATAATACTTAAGTACATACAAAACTTTGGGCAATGCCTAGCTCTGCCACTTAAGGCTGACAACTTGAGTTGAAATCAAATCATGCTGAAAATTTTTTTCTCCTCTGAATATATATGTATGCATGTGACAAACTGCTAGAGGGCTGCATACTCCTTGTAAAGAGCCGGGACAGGAAAAAAAATATTAACTACCAATTAAAATTAATTGCAAGTAAAGTAAGATATCATTATTGATTCCTATTTGCCTGTGTCAGTCATTTTCACTCTTACACAGAGACCATATGTTGAAAAATACAAGTGCACATACATACATAAATGTTCTTCTCTTGCCTTCCACCAGAAACAGCAAAAAAGTAAAGAAAAAGGAGAAGAAAGAAGGAAAAGAAACTAAGTTAACTGCAATTGGAAGGGAAGGGAAGGGAAGGGAAGGGAAGGGAAGGGAAGGGAAGGGAAGGGAAAAAGGCG